CGAAGAGAAAGACAAAGTAATGTGAGAGGATGAACTTACATTTCTTTATTTTGTCCAACACAAGGACAAAAGACTTCTGCAGCTCATCCATGAAGTCCTTCTCGTCGAAGAACTCCTCAGCATAATAGCTTTTCCACCACTCCTCGAAGGATGGTGAGCAAAGAAAATTGAGCTGGTAGTCAAACAACGAGAGAACTGTTCGACCAGCATATCTTCCGATATGCTTGATGGCAGCTTCTTCGGTGTAATCATTGCAGAAGTACAACATTGACTTCTCTCGTGGAAAAATCGGAGAAGGTAGGGTTTGGATAATACCAAACTGGCGAGATACCAGGTTTGGTTGGTAGGCAATCAGACTCAAGTGAGTCTTAGAACTCCTGAATCGAAGAGGCATGATCCTTGGTGTGAGGAACGCCTCCCACAGTATTGTATGTTCGTCAACATTAGGACCACTCGACGTCCTTGGATGTGGCCTTGTGAACCATGTTGGGCCTACCTTCCGTCGAGAAAATGGAGCCATAGTCGAAGCAAACTCCTTCCTTCGAGCAAACATCAGAACGAAGTTGGTGAAGGTTTGCTGAAACTCCAGTCCATCTTCCATAGGCGTCAACAGAGCCAGTCTGGTTCCTTCGACGCGTCTGTTCGCTATCTCTGGAGCCTGCTCGTTTATTTGAACCTTCTTAGGCAAGAAAGATTCGAAGGTGGCATTGAGCCACAGTTGGAGCAGCCAAAAAGGCCCAGCAAGTAGCAAACTGGCCCTGTTCTCGATAATTTTTAGAAGAGTGGCCCCATTACTAATCGAATCATAGAGGCTAGCCAGAATCAACTCTGCCAGACAGACATTCTGGCCATGATGCAGTTGAGTGGCGAGAGTGACCATCTTCTTGGTCACTTGTAGGGACTTCGAGCAAAATACAAAGCGAGTCAGCCATAAGGATAGAAACGCTATGTGTTCGACATCCGACACAGTATCTGTCGACCTGTCGTGATAGTGGTTTATGAAGGTGGTATAGGTTGGTTTGGTCTCAGAGAAGCCAATTTGATCCTCCGACATCTCCTCCGGATCGAAGTAATCCCCGGTGGGTCGAAGGCCAGTAATAGCGGCCACATCGAAGAGTGTAGGAGTTAGCATCCCACGGGGAAGATGGAAAGTGAAGTGGGAGTAGTCCCAGAAAAGCAGGGAAGCTATCAGCATCTCCGGAGAATAGTTCAAACCTGTCTTCGACAGCATCACCAGGTCGAAGATCCCCATCTTTTTCCAGATGGAAGCTTGGCTTTTCTCCATCTTTTCCAGCCAAGCAACGTAGTCGGGAGTCAGGCTAGGGCCAGACCTAAAGGCCCTAACACCTCTGTTGAAGAAGCGGAGGTCGATTTTTTCATGTGCAGGGTCTTCATTATCTTCAGTGTCTTTCTTGGCACATGCAACCGGTTTGAGTTTCTCAACTACCGGGAAATAGCTCTTAATCTTCATGGCCTCACCAATGCTTGGATACATGGGGCCAGACATAGCAAAGATCTGGTTGGAATATCCAACCGGGATCATAAGGTGATGTGAGTAAGCATCACGAACGACGATGTCCAAGGGTTCAGGGACCCTTCGTTGGCCCGTAGCAGTTACCACTGGAGCGGTGACGAAAATCTTAGGTTTGGCGTTTCCAGTTGGTGCGGTAGCACTAGGAGCAGTAGAACCAGATGCCATGGTTTAGTGTTGAGTTTGAAATGAGGTTGAAGACGAAGTGAAGGAGGAAAAGTTTCTGCAAAGATAACAAGCTTGTATGAAGATAGAGAAGTTTGAAAGCTAGATGGCGTAAAAAGTCCCACAATGGGGTACTTACTGCTATTTATAGTAGTGGGGAAAAATCCCCAAAAACGAGAACATTAAATGCCATTTAATGCTGCAGGAGATAGTGGGACGCGTGGCAGCCCCCGGTTGTTTTAGCCGTTCTGCAGAAATAGAGGGACGCGACGTGCGTCCTCGTTTTTGGGAATTGTCATAATGACAAATTCTGAAATGACGTTTGGTACTGCACGCCATACTGACATGACGTCTTAGGTACGGATAAATGATGGTTTTCTTGGGATTGCCAATGGTTGGTAGAAAACAACAAAAAGTGCACAAGTTAATTTGTGACTAAGCGTGAAAAGACAAGTGTCGAATGGCGTTTCAAAGAATGCCTTTTTCTGTCAGAGTCGAAATAAGGCATTCTTGGGGGGCAATTTATTGGCTCCTAAATTCGACACTCTTGTTTTATTAATGTCAGCCATTAAAAGCTGAAAGATGTTTTCGACTGGCTAAGTCTGTCGAAATGCTCGTCGAAAGATGGCAAAGTACTTAGAAGATTTCTTCCAAGGGAGAAGTTGGTTGCCTTCGACGTCGAAGGAGTTTCTCGTCGAAGATGTCTCTCGACGAAAGTGTTCGATGGTTCAGAGTGGAGCAGTTTGAAATTCAAGCTTTTGGAGGGAAAACGGTTTCCAGCAGTTACCACGTGTAGCGTGCAAAGATCTGGAGCGTCGAACGTTGAGAACGTGCCAAGTGGAATCATCTCGAAGCAGTGTAACTGCCCGACGGTTACTTGGGATGTTTTAGTATAAATAGCAGTAGACATGTAGTTTCTCGCGTGTGTTCACAATTCTATACAAAGTCACTCATATAGATTCGAGTACCCAGCGTGTGAGAAAGAATTGTTGAGAAATGTATGTGTGAAACACCAATTTTATTAATCAAAGTCATTTACTTTTCCAGAAATTTACTTGCTTTCCTCTTTACATTCCTGTCGAAGCCTTTTACTTTAAGCCTTGTTTATTTTACCAAGTCCTTTCTTCATGCAATTTACTTGAAACCTCTTTATTTCATTTAAAGCCTCTTTATTTAAAGCCTTATCCAATTTAATCAAACTTCAAAATCAACCTATGTCCTAGGATCAATCTGATCGATCCTGCGAGTAACCAAATAAGTAACCATTTGGAGGATCAGCGGTTGTTTACCAAAACCCAAGGTAAACAGAGATGTAGTTAAATATTTGTTTTGGAGGATGTAGGTGTATTGGGGGCCTAGGGTAGTTGAGAGTATATTATGTGTTGTAACCATTTTTACATAGTGTTATTCTCTGGTTGTTATTTGATAACGATCGTGATTTTTTCTCCGGTTTTGAAGTTTCCACGTTATATCCTTGTGTTGTGATTGTGTTCCTAATTTTTTCTCTATGTTTTTTTCCCAACAATAATTATTTGGAGAGTCTGGAGGAGTCGGGAGCACCAATGAAACCAATGCTCGAGGACCACAAGATATGGAGACGCCACATCTCAACCCAAAACCTTAAAGTGTTAGGAAAATGAGTTATTTCTCTTATAAATCCAACATTCCACCTATTCATAGGCAATGTGGGACTTTAAGCACCCAAACTTGCACCAAACATTCTCCACCGTAAATGTGAGTCCCCACATCTTATAACAAAGTTCAACACTGGATCCAGCTCCCGTTTCCCCACCAAGCTGAACCACAACTCTTATACCACTGTTGGGAACTCCGGAGGAGTCGAGAGCACCAATGAGACTAATGATCTAGGACCACAAGAGAGAGAGAGAGAGACGCCACATCTCAATCCAAAACCTTAAGGTGTTAAGTAAATGAGTCATCTCTCTTATAAATACAACATTTCACCCATTCATAGGTAATGTGAGACTTTAAACACTCACACTTGCACCCAACATCATGAGTGAGTATTGAACATTATAGGGGACAAACACGACGTCATCTATGGTGAGAGACCTTAAAAAGTCTCTCACGTGAGCAATACTGGTTTTCTTTTTAGTATTTAGCGCACAAATTTTAACTATTCATTTTGTGACAATTTTAAACTCTCATGAAACATTTACGGTTCATTTGGTGATAGTTTTAAAACGTCACAAAATTGTTATTGTCCAATTTGTGACGCTTTCAAACCGTCAAAAAATCTTTACTGTTTATTTTGTGATGGTTTATAACCATCACTAATTGTTAAAACTGAAAAAATAACTATATCACTTACGTGAGAGACCTATTAAAGATCATAGTCTACACCGGCAGATACAAAAATAATACTAGAATATTTTTAACTATCAAATACTCTTTAGTTTTAGAATGTATGTCTTTTTAAAAAAAAATATTTGTTTCAAAATAAATATTATTTTTAATTTTCAATATAAAAATAATCATTATTTTTTCAATTTTATTTTTTAAATCTTATTCTTTAATTTATATTATGTACCTTACTTCTAACTTATTAATAAAATTAATTTAGTAAAAATATAATATATTATGATAATATAATTTTGTTCCCTATACAAATATTCTTTTATTCTATGTTTAACCAACTTAAACACACGAGTTTTTCTTAATAATATCTCGTCCGTCAAAAAAGTCCTTAGAATTTATTTAGCAAAATTTATTTAAAAAAAAAAAAGACAAATGTTAACCTATTTTCTTAGAAATGTATATGTTTCAATTATTGTAAAGTTTAAAAATTGTAATATCTTCTCACACAATTTTTTATTTGTAAGGCACGTGTAGAATACCAAAAAAAAAAACTATCATCGACTATATTGAAAGAAAAAAACTATCACATATTTAGTTAAATTATTTTTTTATTTATAATTTTTTTTAATAATGGAAGATATTGATGATTCTATAAAACTATTTTACATGTGAGTGCATATTCATTAAATTGAAAATAAAATTAATAAAATAATATTAGAAGCAAATTGCAAATTGATAAGGTCTCGTTATTTAACTTAGTTGGCGTAAAAGTCAAGGCAACTAAACCCAAAAAAATCAAATTTAGTAAACACATTCTAAGTTTAGTGTATTCTTTCTTCATCGTTGTATTTTTATCCATAATCCATAATATTATCACTGTCGTAATTTCTAATTATTTCCCTAACGTGAAACCGGATTTCACGGGCGGTTTGTTTACCGAACCGGGTCTCCGTCTGAGATTGGTGGAGTCCACCTGAAGCCGGAGATGGATCTACCTGCTCACCAGCGTCCTTTATTTTCGGACCGAGTAACCGTCAACGGCACCGTCACGCCGCTCGCTCTTCTCGCCGACGGTAGGCTCTGGTGGTCGGAGGGGATCCAACGCTGTCTCTCAGTCGAAAAAGAGGTCCTCGGATTTGTTGCCAGTGGACCCTACATCAAACTCAAGACGCTCGTGGAGGCTCGTGACGGTTGCTGCACCGCCGGTGCCGCAGGCAGACTCGTTCCTAATGATGTTGTTTTTAAACCCTCGTCGGATGAAACGCATAGGCTCTGGTGTCAGAAGCTTCGCGAATTTATTGATTCTCTCGGTAACCTAGAGATTTTGAAATTGTGATCTGTGAAATTGTGTTTATGGATGGAATTGAAAAATGAATTTTGATGATGTAGGTCGACCTAAGAGGCTGCTTGTTTTTGTGAATCCGTTTGGTGGGAAGAAATCTGCTGTCAAGATTTTCGCTGAACAAGTCAAACCTCTTTTTGTAGATGCTCAAATTCAACTCACTGTTCAAGGTGATTTCATTCTTTCATTGCTTTTGCTATTAATTTTTTTAAGAGAAGTTATTAAGAAAGATTTGGAGATTAACAATTTAGATTTTTTTTTTTTTGCTATAAGAGAATTTATTAAGAAAGATCTTGAGAAAAAAATTTGGATAGAAATATGGAACTGGATAGAACATTATGGTGAAAAGGGATCATGTAGCTGACCCCACTTATTGGGATAAGATTTGATTGTTTTCTTGATTCTGTTTGTTTTCTTCAGAAACCAAACATCAGCTACATGCCAAGGAGATTGCTTGTTCGCTTGATATTAAAAAGTACGATGGAATTGTTTGTGTTAGCGGAGATGGAATCTTGGTTGAGGTTAGTTTCGTTGTCATTTTTGGAATCAAATTTAAGATTCAGATATGTGTGGGTTGATATAAGAGAATAATGGATTCTCAATGAGTTCATGATTAAACTTGGTTTACACCAACAACGCATCTCCTTTGAACTCAAAATAACCTGTATACATGTACTCCCGCAGTTTCATAATGACAGTCATTTTAGCAAATAAATTTTGTTTTAAAATGAATGTCATTCTCACTTTTCAATATAGACATGATTGTTATTTTTCCAATTATGTCATTTAATAATTAATCTGTATACTATTTCCAGCACATTAATAAAGTTAATTTAGTAAAAGTATAATGTCTTGTTTCAATACTATTGCATTCCTTAACTTGTGTGTAAAAACCTTAAATGACAGTCATTTTGAACCTGATGGACTATTATCTAGGTTTGTGTTACCCTTTGAGGTATCCTTCCAAGATATTCAGTTATGTGTTGTATCTGTTTATGCATGCCTTTTTTAATCTTACAAGCATCACACATTTTAGTAGGTTGTAAATGGACTTCTTCAAAGAGAGGATTGGAATACAGCAATAAAGATGCCCCTTGGAGTGGTTCCTGCAGGTTTATTACTTGTTTCATTTTTTTCTTTCTCATGAGGATTTATAAAATTGATTTGATTACTTCAAACATTGTACTTGGAATGAGTGGGACACAATGGATTAACTGTCTACTACTAACAGATTTACTAATACACTATTTGCTGGATTTTGTTTAGAAAGTTTATCATTTATTATTGTCTGTATATAATGAGTGCATGTGAGTGCACGTGTTACTATACAAATTTAGTTATGCCAAGCTAATAAGCTCTTTCATACTTTGAAAGGTACGGGAAATGGCATGGCAAAATCTCTGCTTGATTCAGTTGGCGATCCTTGTGCAATATCCAATGCCGTTCTTGCTATTATACGAGGTTTTAATCCATTGATGCCATTCAAGCATGTCATACCCTAGCTATTTTATTTTTGCCCCTTTTTCTATGATGTTATAGAGAATAAAATGTGTATGAAATATTGACAGGCCATAAGCGACAGCTTGATGTGGCTACCATAACACAAGGGGAAACCAGATTTTTCAGTATACTAATGCTTGCATGGGGTAATTACTCCCACCATAGACTTGACTATGCCAATGAATGTGCTAATCTAGGCTATTAATTTCTTGGAAAATGCTAACTTGTGTCCTAAGGGCTTAGGGCACAAGTTAAGAAACCAAATATGAAAATTTTGTTTTGTAAGTTGTGTATTGACTTTTTTAAACGTTTAAATTTTGCTTTTTCAAAACAGAACTTTCTATTTTTTGATACTTGAGTTTCTTAACTTGTGCCCTTAAAGGTTCAAGTTAGCATGATCCTAGTTTCTTACTCTTTCCTTTTTGTTTATAATTATAACCCAGACTTGAGTCTGCATATGGCACCAAGTTTCAACAATAGCATTCACTTTGGTGTAATATGATATCATCAGATATGTGTTGGTATTTCAGGTCTAATTGCTGATATTGACATCGAGTCTGAAAAGTATCGGTGGATGGGAAGTGCTCGTTTAGATTTTTATGTTAGTAAGCCATTTTATAATGTTTGCATCTTGTTATTTATATATTTCACTGAATATAAGTGGCCCTAAATGGACTGTTGTTGCAATTCTCTACTTTTTTCTTGTGTTAAATGTGCTCTGCAATTATTTGAGAGATGGGAGTTAGTCTTGGTCATTATTATTTTCTTTATTCACTTCTCTCCTGCTATAGGCTCTCTGTCGATTATTCAATTTGAGGCAATACAATGGACGTGTTTTGTTTGTTCCTGCACCCGGGTTTGAGTCTTATGGGGAGTCTACCAGTTATCCTGCCAAATCCACTATCAAAGGCAACAACAGTGATCCAAGTGAAGGGGCACATGTTAATTTGCAAACCCTTCATTATCAAGGACCCGAAATAAACTTGGAAAATATGAATTGGAGAGTTATAAACGGACCCTTTATTAGTGTCTGGCTTCACAATGTACCTTGGGGTGCTGAAGACACAATGGCAGCACCTGATGCAAAGGTCAGTTTTTGTGAATAAGAATCTAAGCTTATTGTTTTACTTTCCCCTATTAACACAATTGCCTCCGTGGCAACGGCTTCATTAGGAGGATCAATTTTGTATTAATTGCACAAATCCTGATGAATAATGTTTGCATCTTAATTTGCTTGATTTAATGGTTGCTACTACACAAATCATACTTTTATGAATTGGATTGAACATAATATAGCAATCAATACGGTAATTGAAGATTAAAACGAGCATAATAAAAGATAAATGTTTGAACTCTTTTAACTTCTGTCAGGTATTTGTACATATGATAAACTTCAGCCAAATTCTTTTTCATTGATAAATACCAGTGGTTTGATTTTTTGTAACACTTTTTTCCTCCCTAGTGAGGTAAGTCTAATAATCATTCTATTATAATTTGGTAAATGCAGTTCTCTGATGGTTATCTGGACCTGATCATTATGAAGAATTGCCCAAAGTTACATTTGTTGTCAATGTTGTCAGGGTTGAGTAATGGAGAACATGTGAAATCTCCATATGTCACGTACCTGAAGGTGTGATGTCCTTATTTATTCTGTAATACTTTTTGTCGCAGTTGCTTTGAGCTTCGAAAGTTTACTAATGTATATATCTTGCAATAAATTAAAGGTGAAAGCTTTCAGTTTGGAACCTGGTTCACGCACAAAGGACCAAGAGAAGGAAGGGATTATAGATTCAGATGGCGAGGTTTTGGCAAGAGGGAAAGGAACCTACAAGTGTGAGCAGAAGGCTTTGATGGCCTATGATAAATTGCAGATAACAGTGGATAGAGGTTTAGCTACACTTTTTACCCCTTTGTAATATTCTTGGTTTAATTATTTTCGGGGGCACATTCCACTCCATGCAATACCGTTACCGCTCACACGGTGGTATGAACATAACCTTCCATGGGATATGTTCATTATATACATATCTTGTACAACAGCAGATGTATTGTATAGCAAGTTTCCTTTGCAACACGAATTTGGCGGGGGTTAAATTTTAACAAGGAAATGATTTTATCACTCTTATCTTTGGTAAAAGCACAAGATTTCGCTTTCCTAAAGTGGTACACTTCCAAAGATCAAGTGTAATGATAAATATTTAATAAAAAGTAAACAAGAGATTGCAATAATATATGCAGTTGTATACACATGTATAACAAACCATGAAGTTGTTGAAAGTTTAGCAGTTGATTTTATGATTTAAAAAGAACCAAGTACAATTTGTGCAATCTGAACAGATCGAAGTTCACAAGGATGCAAACCCAAGTGTTATAAGAATTTGATTTCCTACTACCCAACAAAGAACGTTGTAAGTGACACATTTTTATTTTAATCCTCCATAAAGTTATCATCTAACATGTTATGAATTCCTACTCTTTACTCCTTGAATTTTCTGTTTTTCAATCAAGTGGTTGTTATCTTTCATTCACAAATTTCAAAACAATTTTCAAGATTTGATATAAGCACTTCAGAAGCCACGAAAGCATTCGTTTCTAAAAATTCTTCAATATTGCTAGTTTATACCGTGACATCAAACATATTCTCCAATGCACACACTCATTGGAGTGATATTTGAACCCCTGAAATTCTTAACACTATACACAGACACTGTATTATTATATTTCTGTTTATCTTTGGTTTTGGCAAACAATGCTAATCTCTTAATAAAAAATTTATTGGTGAGATCGACCAGAGAATCTCAGTATAGTGCTTCAGTTTTCGAGTATTTTCATAAAGTATGTTCAAAAAGGTTCGTTCGACTAAGGCAAAACGAGTTTAAAAGCAATAAAGCAGAACTTGTAAAATAAAATAAAAGACGTTTTAAACTGTAAAAATAGATGACATAACATCAAAATAGTTGAAAATGGGTTGATTCAAACGTACATTGTTCTAGTTTGATTCATTTAGCTCGTTCGCTTGGGTACTCTGAGTGACTAGCGTGTAGGAATGTGAAAGTTTGAACCTCTGATACTATGCACTAAGTGCTTTATTTATAATATACAAAATAACTACTTTTCAGCGGGTTTCACTTCTTTATAAGTCATGTGTCTCTTGTAACTTTCCTCCATGAATCCACGTTCTCCATTCCTATTATCGAACCCACGTTCTCCATTTATAACACTTTGCTTTGCTAGTTATGTATTCTTTGGGTTTTTTAATATTCCTGGGCCCAATCCATTCCTCACGAGGCCTTTTTCTGGTCGAATACATCCACAAGCCCAATTGACTATTTGTGAAACTCTCCCGGTCGACTGCTTCTATAGTCGACTTCCTATAATTTAAAGTTCTCAAAGAACCTTTTTGACTTTTGGTTGGATTTTAATCCTTTGTGAAAATCTTAGTCAATAAATTGCCCCCAAAAATGTCTTTTTCGACTGAAAGACTAGAAACAGACATTTTAATCTATTTCTCTTAGTGCAAAGTGACGTCATCATAATCATGAGTTTTTCTCTCAAACGTTACATCAGTGATCACACAACCACTTCCCCTACTTTCTAGCTTCAACTTCTTAAGATAATCGTGGCCCCCAACTAACCAACTCCTTCAACTCAGTCGCCACCTGTTTGATACGTGTCGGTCGTGTAGCCATATTTTTTCCACTTTCTTTCCAAACGTTTAATTTCCTTGATGGTATAAATACTCCTTTTATCTATTCATTTTCTTCTCTACATTTTCTCTACACACTCAAGCTCTTTGTTTTCGTACGCAAAAGAAATTCATACTTTCATTTCTACTCAGAAAAAACTTTCCACCATCTTCATGGCCGCTTCAAGCCTAATCTCTGAGCACATTCAAACTCTCCAGGAAATTGATCTAGTTTCCAACATGAGTGAGTTCTTTGTTTATGATCAAAATACCTTTATTTTGGAATCAACGCCAACACAAAATCTCCAAACTTTTCGCTCTTAATTGTTGCTTCCCTTCATCTGTAACAACATTGCTTACGCTCTATTGGGGCCTATTCTTGATGAGATTAGGGAACCTAAACAATTGGAAAGTTGCTTCCTCATTCACAAAACTACAAAATCCTATATCAACAGAGATTATCCTATAGATTTTTCGCACATCTACCAGATGTCTAAAGTATTTCGCTCTGCTCCTGCCGTTATCCAATATTATATCGCATGGTTGAATAAAGTGGAGAAAGTTAAAAGTGACGTTTGGAAGGTCCAAAGTATTTTTGACTTGATTCATCTTTTTAGGGTTCACCCTAGTTATTGCAATCACGTGCACTCTATTTTTGGGAAGGCTCTACAAACACTTTCCATTTTGTAGCTGGGATGCTTACTCCTACCTTGTTTGACATTGCGGCCATCACTGATCTCCACCCCACAGGTGAAGCGTTCTTTCCCACTGAAGCAGACAAAAATTTCACCCCTTTTGAAAAGGACATTGTTAACTTCACCAAATACATGGATCATTTTCACGCTAAAGATGTTGACACTGTGTCTGACGAAGAGCACAATGCCTTATTGCCCTTATGGCTTTCCAAGTATGTCTTCTACAGCCGATCTCTGAAGGTAGATAAATAATCCATTGTGTTAGCTCATCACCTCCATCTGGGTCGAAACATATGCCTGAGCGAACTTATTTTAGGGTCGCTCTATGAATCGCTCAGCGTGGAGGTCGATCATATGACTTCACTTTCATCTACTGTCAACTATCTGCTTGCTGGGCCTTTCTGACAACTTTAATTGTGGTTAAATGCCACTTTTGCGAGCCAGCTCAAACAAGGCCTTTATGAAGCACAAGAGACTGCACTTGCCCAATGTTCCAACGAAATCCCTCGTCTTGCTGCAATGACACCTTCTAACAATGACATGACTCGAGAGGAGTCGCTTGAGAAATACATGAAGTTTTTCTTTAGGTACACTTATTTTCAATCGAGCATGGCATCCTTTGCCTCTAGACCACATGGTCCTGAGTGGTTCACTCGACCATTTCCTCCTGTCGATCCTATGCTGATCCCTGAATTGAGATCCATTTGGTAAGCTTTCTTAACCCTTAGGATCATAACATCTAGGGTAGGAGGTAATGATGGCGTAACGCTTCTTTGTTATCAGCCTAATCTGGTGGCTAGGTAGTTTGGCTTGTGCCAACCTTTGCCTCACAACTTTTATAAGACATCAGGTGAACTATGCCTTTCATCCACCAGCTACAGTGAGGGAGAATGTGCTCAACGACTTCAAAATTTTGCTGCTCATGCCCCCAATATGACTCATGTTGCCTTCGAACCTCTCTTCTACACCACCAAGGAGTTCTATGATTGGTAGACTGTGCAATTCATGCAAAGTAATGAGACTCTTAAGTCCTTCAAGGCTCGACTGAACCATGATTTTGAAGTTATACAACAAAATTTTAGGAAAGGTATGGCTTATTATTGTGACTGCCAGTCGCCTTCTCATTCACCTTCTCGCTTCTTTATGTTTTGATTTCTAATGCTTCATCTTATGTTATTGCCTCATTGAAACAACCGACTGAATAAATCATCGAGATGAAATCAATGAAATCGCCATCGAACATTTTTTACCCCACAGGAAGGGAAAGATAAACATCGAATAAACTTGAGAAGGGTGAAATCAAGATCAAACAACCAAGAGATACGGGTACGTGGTATGTTACGCGAGGAGAAGGTATTAACACCCCACACGCCCGTAGTATTCTACAGTATTCACTCTTATTGTTCTAATCAAAGGGCGTGTTTAAAGCTAATGCTTAAGAGCTAAAAAGAAATATACAAAGAGGGAATGCATACAAAAGAAAAGAGAAAATAATGTAGGGAAAATAAAGTTGTGCTCGCTCGGACTCTACCCCAATACCTACGTATCCCTTTTAAGGAATCAGAGCAGTCGTAGTTCGGCTCAAAATTTTTTATTGGTTTGGATTTTTTAATGAACAATATTAATTTTGCCTTCTGCACAGCTCGACCTTTAGAAACTCACGCGTTAGCACAAAAGGGAATTAACATGTTCTCTTGAATTTTTTTGAAAGAAAATCCCGAAGGCACAAAAGAGTTTGCATTAGTTGATATCTTTTATCTTAAAGAATGATTTGAAAATAGTTAGATGTTTTATGCATTTTTCAAGAAAAGAGTTTTTGTCTTAATGCAAGGATGCAAAAGAAATAAAAACATCTAAGAGAGACTAACCTAAATCTATCCCTAATGTTATCATACAATGATTGACCCTAAGGTTGGGTTTTAAAAGGAAAATCTCTACCCTATATTAACATGCATGGATACCTATCCTAATGTCTGGCTCAAAAGCTACTCTAATCGAGTGATCCTAAGGGAAGCATGGTATAACAAACAAATAAGCAAACAAGTGCTTTGACAAAAGCACACAAACATGAGTAACAAATACTGACTCAAAGGGATGGGGGAAACAAGAGAAATGCTTTAGTTAAGGGGAGCGAATCACCCGAAATAAACAAGCGGGAGACAAATGAAATAAAAAAGAAAATAATTAATTTAGCTAAAGGGAGCGAATCACCCGAAGCAAACAAGCAGGTAACGAAGTATCAACAATAGCTATTGCGAACTCCTAACAAAGTGTGGGTGTTGGTCGCGAATACTTTTCCATATGATCGACTCGATACACATGATCTGCATGACTCCGAAGCATCGACGTACAACGTGAGCTAAGAATGGCATAGACTAGAATGTGTGGAGGTTGGTTGCGAACCCTCTTCGCTTGCCTTCTTTTGAGGACTTATCATCTATAATATAATGAGGACACAAATGTAAACACATGTTTGGGATACCTACTTCAAAGGTAGGATTTTAAACAAACACAAATAACGTACAAAAAGCGGTGCCTGCTACATGACTTTAAACATCGACTTCGAGCACACACTCTTTATTTTCTACTTCTCATGATATCTAGAAAGCAGTAAAGTTCCTACTTCTCATGATCTCTAGAAAGCAGTAAAGTATTGAAATGAGAAAACAAGAAAAAAAAATACCAAACAGATATCAATATGTATCAAAGCGTATCAAAACAAAGAAACCCGACGATCTTCGCGAAAGCTTCACTAATCAAAGAAAAGAGTCAGAAATCAAATGCTCGAAATAAGTGTCAAAGCATCATCAATGTGAAAATAAATCACAATCACAAACTCAAGCATATCCTATTACAAATCTCAAGTAATCAGATAATCAGGATTTAATTCCTAAAACCAAATAAAAAAAATCTAACAAATTTTTATTGATCTTATCATTTTTTATCATGAAACAAAAAAATTAAAAAAAGTTAAAAGAAAATTCTATATATTTTTTTATTGTCCTTATTAGTTCTTAAAATTATCAATTTTTATTAAAAAAAGAGCAAGAAAATCTAAGGAAAACTCTAATATTCTAAACAGAATTGGAATAAGGGGGTTCTATAGTAGTGGAGGCGCTAAGACCCATCATAAAGGTCCATTATTCAATTGCTAGCATGCCATCAAAACAAAAACAAAAAAAAGATGTACCGGACTTCAGCAGGGGGTGAACATAACCCGGTCCATTAAACACGTTCCAAAAACTAACCAGATTTTTGTCATTTTATTATTACTCAGCTATTTTTTTAAAACGAAAGTAAAAAGAACATAAGCAAGAAAAATGAAGTGGGATTATGGCTTAAAAGGGATTGGGATTCCACAATCATAACCTCTTCACTCTCGTCTTCTTCTACCTCTCAACGTGAACGGTGGCCGAAGACTCTCTTCTTCTCTCTCAACCGCGGCGCCGCTATCATCCCCATAAACCTCCATTCATCTTCATTCTTCTTCGTCTAATTTCACACCCGACTTCTTCTCCAACGCAAGATCACCACACCATGAACAACAGTTCAGAACCTCTCCTCTTCGTATCGCTTCGTTCTTATTTGTTCTCCTCTCATCATCGTCTTCGTTTCGAGTTGCAATTCACAAAACTCTATCTCAGTTTCATCTCTTCTGCGTATTCAACTTAGTTCTCAATCTAAACCGAAATTGCAGAAGGAAAGATTGGAGAAGGCTTACTGACCGAAGTTTGTCTGACGCGTCTTCGATTACGACTCAGGTGACGAGAAACCAGAGAAAAATCAGGTATTCGCGTTCTGAATCTTCTTCTTCTTTTCTTCTTCTTCTTCTGCGTTTTTCAATTTTTGTTGTTGTTACGATGCGTTCATGAAGAAGCGTTTGAACCGTGACAGTGTGATGTGAGGATGAGTTATGAAGAAGCGTTTGAACCGTGACAGTGTGATGTGAGGATGAGTTATGGGACCTGCGTTATGTGTTAAAGATTGTTGCGTTTGCGTTGATGTTGGTGAGAAATTGCAGAACGATGCTTGAAGATTAAAGAATGAAGGAGTTGAAGTTACATATAATTTGTTGTAATTGATGAAGATGATGAAGGGAGCAAAGAACTGTTTTAGAGAGAAAGAGATCAAGTCCTGAGTTTTTGGTGTGAATCTTTGTTGAGTATCACGGTTTGGCTTGTGTAGGGCATAGTTTTTTTGATAATTGTTTTCTGTTTGAATATGGTGTAGGTTTGAATGTGGGGAAAAATCATTAACAGGTTGCAGAATCAGTTTTGTGATGTTGCAGGGAGGTTTTCTTGTCGATGTTCAAATGGTTATGCAATCATTAGCTTTGGTTTTGGATTTTGTCAATTAACAACAGTTGAAGCGAGAAGGTGATGAATTTGAATGAATGTGTTGGTTTAAGTATTTTCGGTTTTGTATGGATGTAGATGAACCGCTTGCTATTTCCCTTTGGGCTGCATTTAATCATACTGAACATGACTTGGATAGCAAAGTATATGTGATGCCCTTTTGAAATATATTTGAATCTCCTTATGCTTGAACATGATGTTTTTCTTTTGTACTTCATACAAGTTTTTAATGTGCTTGTATCATGTAAATGAATCATGAAGCTACTTGGATCATGGTGTTTATTTTGGCCTGTTCGTGGGGCATGGTGATTATATGAAGAATGGTAGTTGTGGGGACATGTCTTGGAACAAGGGATAAAGATGAAGTTCATGAATGAATAGGCTTAGGGACAAGATTTTTGTGTAGTTTTGATGTATGTGAATGGTATAGTTGGATAGAAAATGTAGTGTAAATTGTAGTGATGTTATGGTACTTTGTAACGGCTTTGTAATATTGAAAAGAAACATGAACGATACTTGAATGGTTTATGAAGCCGAGTTTGGTTAAGCCTGGATATTCTTTGAATAAAGTTTTTGAATGGTGTATGAAACTTGAAACCTTTGTAATTGTAACTTGTATTACAAGGACTATAAGAAATCTTCTTCCCACTTTGTATGCTTTACATCCTAAGAGCAATGATCCTTTGGTCATTTTGAACAAAACTTGAATTTATGGAATCATTTGAATCACCTTCAAATCCACATCACCTTGCATATTCAATTCTCAAAATCCAAATCAGGTATCTCACAATATCATCTTTATACCACAACTCATATTTTGTAATCCCATCTACAATTTTGTCATCAAATCCATTCTTACTTGATGATCTTAAAACAAAACCCACGTGGTAAAGAATTCATGGAGATGAGTACGGAAAAAGATATGACCAATGAAACTCTGGCATGAAAATCCTAGCCCTCTTGATTTTCAAATGATGAACATTTATTAAGCTCAAACACAAAGGACAAGAAACCCTATCCACTTGCTTGCAACACACCTTAAGTGAAGAAGGTATCTTGACATATTTAACCAACCTTAGCCGTAATATTCTCGATGGAAACCTAAGAAACCCTAGCACTTGAAGGCACTTTGATGAAGATAAGAACCTTGAAGCTTGATGAAGAGGATCTCAATGATGACGAACACACAACCTTAGCTTCACAAACCATGATAGAACTAGTTGATTCCCTTGAAATAAGATAAAAGACTAGAATCACAAAGAAATCCTAATCCCTCAACATCCTTAATCACATGCCAAGTTTATTGATGATGAATGATTTATTATATGACCTAATGGAATGTATGCAGATGAATGCAAAACCTAAGTCAGATAAAAATAAAATTAGGAGGACAAATTTTGGGGTGTAACACTCATTCATCGGTTAAGCACAAGAAAAGCGCCAGGGAAGCTATCAGTGGTGCGATTGTTTCTCCCTCAACTAATGAAGCCATTATAACTTCTTCTCAAGTAATATGCTAATTTGATGGTTTACTAAATGTTTGTGTTTCTTTCTAACCCTCTGATTTTGTTGACATATTCACAGGCCCCTGAAGCTAACATCGTTGTCCCTCCTGAACCATCCCCAAAGAGACATAAACACTCTTCTAACCAAGAGAAACGAGATGACGACGCGTCTTCACCTACCATCCCAAAAAAATCAGTCGACTCGATCTGAGGTTATCTCAAAAAAGGCCACTTCTGCCACTACGCCTGCTCCGGTGGTAGAAAAAGAACGAGCTTTGCAGCCTGTACCAACTCGACCAGAGAGCATTAACTCTAGTCCTAAGGAGACCATCAGGTACCTTCTTCTTAAAATACTCTTTATCTTAGGAATTATTTGTCCCTTTTATGATTATGTTTTTACTTGCCTTTATTGTTTCAGCGACTGGCAGTTAAACCTGAAAAATGCCCCATCAAGATTGTCTTGAAATCTTCCATGACCAAAAAGAAATCAACTGTCGTCTTGACTGATAGCGAGCCTTCTGGGAGCGACCTTAACTCTCCTATCACTCAGGGTAATTCTGAATATTCTACCATCAGTGAAGGATTGAAGGACGACACCAATAATGACAGTGTGGGGAAGAATACTGGAGATGATTGTCTAAAGGGTCCTGAACAAGCTGCTGTTGTTGACGTCACCACAACCACTGACTAAAATCCCTTCCAAACAAAACAAGTGAATCCACAGGAAATTGCCTCTTTTGGCACCATTTCGACCCCTTCCAACGTGATTCCTGCAACCACCACCAAGTCTCCCCAGCAAGTTGCTGCTCTAAGGAAAAATAACCCCTTTGAGTACCTGAAATTTTTGGTGAATGTTAGGAATTGTTCGACTGATAGAGGCTTCATCACTTCTACTGCATCTGGATGAATCTCTTCTCTTGGGACTCAAGAAAAATTTCTTAATTGTCTCAAAACCATGTGTAATACGGTGGGAGAACTGACTTTTGGTTTTGTGTTTTATCGCAAATGTTGCGGATAACAAGAGCCGCCACCGACTTTTTTTTATCCAATAAAGAAAAGGATGAAAAGAACAGGAAAGACCTTTGAGAATTTTCTGAGTTCGGGGGGTAGGTAATGAAAAGGGAAGATGTTAGCACCTTTTTCATTCGTAGTTATCTACGGGCTCTTAATCGCTGGCTCACTTTTGAAAATGCTTTGTGAATGTGTAAGTTTGAAAATATTTTGAAAAATGCTTAAGTTCGGCAAATTTTGTAATGATTCTCATATCGTTGAGAACACATATAAAGTGTTTGTTTTTGAAAATATTTCAGAAAAGTATTTGTGTGAAAAGAGATGTTTTTTGTTTTTGAGCAAGCGACTACGAGCTATCTACCTACTCAAAAGTCTTTCGCGTTATTTTCCTCTTCCTTTAGATAGTGATATCCTACCATTAGTTAGTAGGAAGTCTTTATCATTGGATGTTTGAGGGATGGGCGCGAGACATCGTACAGTCACAAAGGCAATTTGTAGGACGCTTTTGCAATTTTCGTAAGGAACTAAGATCATTTATCGAGGCAACATCGAAAGGTCATCGAGGGACTACGATCTTTTAACCGAGGGTCTTTGCTAAAGTGTCCCACGTTCGAGGGACATGACTACTTTATCTGAGGCAACAAGTGGGGGTCATCCTAGAGGTGCATGTGTATAAAGTGTGTTGAGTTTCAGTTATTTTAATCTTGGATTTATAGTTATCTAGCACTCTGTTTTATATCTTACCATACAATCCTATTAAACTAGAAGTAATAAGGAAAACAATAAATTGTGGAAATTAAATGTTCTTCGCTATTACAATGCTTCGGGAATAGGGGTACAAATTTATGAATGAGGATGACATAAGAAATAAACACCCAAGCTATAATTATATCACATAATACAAGTCCAAACTATTAAATAATTATTTAAGTTAAAACTCTTCTCATTTGATAAAATTAATTAATAATTTAATTAATAGTGTCAAACAAAAATTATTTTAAAGTTAATAATTATTTAAAACATATTGATCCCTTTTTTATTTTAAATTATATACCAAAATATAAGATAAACCCAAATAAATATAAATAATGAAAACATAAGAGAAAAGGATAGAAATGGGTCTGTTTAAAGCAAATTTGGGGGTGCAGAAATAGAATTCCATCCAGGCCCAAATAAAGGGTGTTCAGAGATTCAATGTGGCAAGCCAGCGAAGGTGCAACGTGGTATGTGCACTCTGAGGCGTTGGATGGTGATGAAGAAAACCCGATGGAGATCTGAAGGCTGAGAGACCAAGAGCGTATGGTATGACTATGGGGATGATGTACAAGATCACACAGGTGTTAATTAGGTGGTGACAATTATCACCATCAAATTAGGCATTAATTAACAATTATTTAACAAACAAAAATAAAAATTAAGTAAACTTAAACAATTATCATAATATTCCTCTCTCTAACTCGTTCCACTCTCCCTCGCTCTTCTTCCTGGGATGCTCTCATCTCTCTCTTAACTTCTCTTGCCAGAGATAATGAGCTGGCCGCGTCGGAAATCGCCCCCACGACAGCGACGGCGGCGGTGAAGCTCTAATCCTAAATTTTTTTGCATCGCTCGATTCCTCTACTTCTTCTAATGTCTAATATCTACTTATTTTTCACAGAAACTCAAGATGTGTCCTAGATCTAAAAGGGGAATTCTAAAACCCTAAGCGCTCAGATTCGAAAACAACAAAGATTATGATGCTGAATGCGTAAATAGAAGCGAAAATGAAAAGAAAGGAGAGTGAAGGAGGCCGCGAGATTCAGATTCGCAAGCTTTCAACCTTTTGATGGTAATATATTTTTGACTATGCTTGAATCTTTTTCTCTTTCTCTCTGTAAATCACTTTCTGAAGGGTTTTTTTTTGAATAAAATGGAAAATAATGATGATTAGGGTTTGGTTATTGTTGTGGCTGTGTGGTTTTAATGAACAATTCTTCTGTGTTTTTCAATTTCTAAAGGGATTCAGTAAAGGAGGATGATGAGATTAGGGTTTGGTTATTGTTGCACAGCTTCTGTGTTTCTCTGTGAACATTATTTTTTTTTGGAATTTGTGTATTGATTATTTTTATAACCATGAGATTAGGGTTCTCTTATCTGTTGTTTGGATCCCTTGATTTGATAACAGGCCTTCGATTTTTCTATTGGGCTTTACAAATTCTAATTATTGTTATTGTTGACTCTTTTGTGAAACTGTGATTTTACTGAATTACTGTGATAAAATTCTGAGTGACTGAATTTGGATAATAGGCTGTGAAATTGTTTTCTTTTGGGCTTTTACGAAACCTAATGTGATTTTGTGATTTCTGGAATATGGACTTGTGATGCTTTGCTGCTTGGGCTGAAACATGAACTTCTTGTTGTTGGGCTGTTTGTTACTGCTACATAACTTTGATGTTTTGATGGGCTCGAAATGCAATTTCTGACTTTGATGAATGCTATAACTTTGTCTCTTTTGATTTTGTCTTTACTGTGAACCAAAGTTACTTTTGTGATTTATAGTAAAGAAATCAGGCCCGTGATTATTAACTTGAAATTTGACTTTGTTGTTGTGAAACAAAATAATATGAGGCTTTTGTTGGGCTTGGCACATGATTGAAATGACCCTTGTATTTCTGATTTCTATCACAAGACCTAGCGATGAAATAACGAGAAACTCTTTGAAAATATTCCTTGTTTGTTGTTCAAGTTTGATCATTTTCTAACCAATCCCTCTTTTTTGTTTCATGATATGATGATTGGAAATGGCTTAGAGTACGAAGAGGACAACATGAAGTTTGGAAGGAGATTCGAAAGAAAAATCCATGAAAAGCTCTATA